CTAAACAATCAACTTAGAGCCTACCTTCAAATAGTGTCGAGAAAATGTGACTTCAATATTGAAAATCTTTCTGATAGCCTTAAAACATATTTTCATCTTTATTCATAACGTTTAAAGCTTCAAATATAGTGTGCATCGACAGCTATGAAAACTTGAAAATCTTGAAAATTGATGGTCCAAAAATGAGTTACAAAATATACTATTTCCAAAACTTGAAATCCATTTTTTTCTTATGTCCATACATCTTGATGTCGACAAGATCAATTTGAAGATATTTAGGCATCAAAACAACCTCTTCTAGTGAAATTTATGTCGTAGGCTCCAATTTCATTATTTAGAGCCTCAGCTCTATATAAACTTTTCCCATATGTAGATATATGGAAAAACCTAAAAAATGCCTATAGGCGAAATGCTATAGTGTTTCGCCTCCGTCACCGACTTGCTATGTCCGTGGCGGTTTATAGAACGGATGTGCAACAAACAGTGCCATCTGTTGTTGCTCCACGTGAATTTTTTGACCTCCACAGTCCTAGGATATCTGTGACGATACCCGCCATGGATATGTTAGGTCTGTGGCGATCGAAAAACGCATTCTGCCCAATTTTTTTGGACGGTGGTGAGCCTATGGACGAAAACACTGTTCATTTTCCCCCATAGGCGTTGCGTAGATGCTTCCCATATATATATGGGAAAAGTTTATATAAAGCCTATCTAAAAAATTTCACTAGACGAGGTTGTTTTGATACTCTAATATCCTCAAATTGATCATCTTGACGTCAAGATGCATGGACATGAGAAAAAATAGATTTCAAGTTTTGGAAATAGTGCATCTTGTAACGTACTTTTGGACCATCAATTTTTAAGTTATTCAAGTTTTTATAGATCTGATATATCTACACTATTTTTGAAGCTTTAAATTTTATAATTAAGATGAAAATATATTTTAAGGCTAGACAAAGACTTTCAGTAGTAAAACAACACTTCTCGACAACCATGGGAGGGGTATTTCGGTTATTTTATTTTTTAAAATATTTAGTATTATTATTTTTTGGTTGTCCCTTTTGAGATAAAGACAATCAAATTTTGATACGATTTCTAAGAAAAAAAAAAAAAAAAAATACTATGAGACGTTACATCTAAATCAAATAGTCAATAACTCACATGTGACATCCTCGCTATTCGTTCAGATTAGACAGCAAAGTGATTGAAAATATAGATAAAAATAACGTATAGTTGGAAAGTATAGTAAGTTTTTCCATATTGAAAACTCGTTTCATTTGCATTTGCCTAACTATATTGAATAGAACAAAAATCAACTTACATTATTGGCTTGGATATGGTGCCAATTTTCTCTTTCTTCTTCAAATGCCCATGAGGAGCGTAGCAAGAGATTGTGGGACCGAGGTTGGAACACGTGAAACATGGGGGCCATTTGGGAAGTTGCGATATTTGGGGACAGGTTCACGAGCCAATCACTCTCCCCATTCAATTCCTTGTCTTCATTGCCCTCCATTTTTTTTTTTTAAGAAGTTCAGGAAAAGTGAATGAAATCCTTATTTGAAATAGCAACGTAAGTTCAAAATTATTTAACCAACGTTGCTTTCATAAAGAATATTATCATGACTTTAGAAGCACTTCCTCCAATGACCATGTACTAGACAACTTTTTGAATGACATGCGGTTTTTTTTTAGAAAAATAGTTTTTTTCACACCCCTATGATTTTGTGTGCCAATAAATGTCTTTTTTATTTGAGAAAAAATTCATCTTTTACCTTAATCTTAATTTCTTTTATCTTTCAGTATTTTTTCCAATTTTTTTTGGCTTTCTCAAGCGTGATACATGGGCGAGTGCACTCAAACTTGCCCGAGTTGGTCGGCTTGGGCTAGTGGCGAGTACCTGCCCTTATAAAACACTGGTTTGTGGCATTTGTATGATTTCAGATCTTACACATGCACTCTCCTCATCCCAGTAATCAAACCCAAAAAAATTAAAAATTATTTTGCACTTTAGATATAGTCAAAATGAGTCTCTCACCAACAATGAATCTGTAGGGTCCATTTGGTAAACTTTGAGATCTAGAACTTTATAAACTCAAAATCACTATTTTTTTTTTTCTTTTTAAACATTGTTCATCTAATTATAGTAAAGCCATCTACAAACTTTAGAAATAAAAAATAAAAAAAATCCCTTCCCTTCAAGGCCTTGTGTCTCACCAAATAGATTGTCTATATTTATTGGGTTCAAAACCACTTTTATAGTGTATTTTTAAAATATATTTTTTTTATAATTGTTCAATGAAACAAAAGATTGTACGTATAAAAATTGAAGTCAAACAAATGATCCTAGCATGGATTTTGAAGATTTTGTATGAAATCACTCCCATGCATGTGAGGTGAAAAGGCAACATTGCAAGCCATAGAGATCTCTTCATTCTAGCTCTTGCTATCTTTGGATACAGGTGCCAGTACTCGAGGGAGACTTGAAAGAAAATCTATCTTTCTGTTATCCAGTATGAGTGAGTTTCTATAATACTTCTCTCATATATCATCACCATCCAAACTCCACGGCAGTTGTATGATAGTATTTAAATTTTTATAAATTCTCAACAAATTGGATTCACCTTAAATTATGAGAGTGTGCACGTCATAGAGTTGCACTTAAAACATAAAAATAATTAAAATGAATAAAATAGCCAAAATACTCCTATGAATATTTTATTTTTCGATAACCAATTTTTGGTTTTTTTTTTTTTGGATGTGTGATAATTAGAAGTACACCCCCTCCAAATTTGAGGTGAATCAATTTATATGAAAATATAAAAAACGCTATCAGATATGTAGGGTAATATGATGAAATTTTGGATGGTGATGAGACGAGAGTGAAATACTATAAAAATTCATTCTTAGCCATTTTTAAGCGCTTCCCTACGGGCACACACACTCACATGCACACATGCATATAGACATACACATACAAAATTATATTATAAAAGTGAGGCGCACCTCAAGATGTACGTATACAACAAAAAGGATTTCAAGTTGTACCAATAGTGCATTTTGTAACAAATTATCTGAACCGTCTATTTTAATTTGGGCCACCAAGCCTGCCCTGATCATGGCCCATGAGATTTGACATGTGACTCAAATCAGGCTAGAGAATGGGCCCATGCAAAAGCCAACTCCCCTGCCCGGCCCATTATCAACCATAAGTTGAGCTGTCCCAATTTTCACTGCAGTTAATTTGGGAAATAATCCTCAATAGTACAAAATATTCGTAAGGAAAAGTATACAACATGACCAGTTACTTCTAATACAAGGAGGTAGCAATCACTCTTGTTCGTCGAATTTTAAATCGCAAGGAGGTCGCAATCACTTTTGCTCATCAAATTTCAAATCGGGTGGTTGTGACTGTCTCATTGACTAGACTCAAAGTTCAAAAAGAATTTCTCAAACTTTGCGACACACCCCAAAGTATCCATTTGACATCTAACGGTTAGTAGAAATTGTAACCAAATAATAAACATAAATGGTCACATAATATACGTTCATAATAGGATCATGAATAGAAGTGATATCCTTGTAAATCATACAGTCATACAGTTGGGGCAGCATAATAAGCCATTATTCTTGAGAGATCAAAAATAAAGAGTTTTGGTTGTTGCAAACAAATTCATAAGGCAAGCATTGTATGTAGCAAGCATTGTATGTAACAAGCATTCAAGAGAGGCACCCAAATGCATACACATTACAAACTGTTGCAAGCGTTTTGACAAGGCAATCAGTTGACATCCTCCATTTTCAATAATCTAAGCAGGACTCTCACCCAAACTACATTTTCTCTCACTGTTCAATCTTTTTTACTCATCCCTTTATCTCTCTCATTGAACTTCATTACTCATCTCTCTCTGTCATATAAATATATTTTTGGGATGGTGGTTACCTACAAACACAAACACAAACACAAAAGAACAGGGAAAATTCCAATTCTGTTTCATCACCACCGATACAAACACCGAGGAGGAGAGAGAGAGAGAGAGAGAGAGAGAGATGATAAGTTTCAGGGACCTCTACAGTGTGCTAAGCGCAGTAATTCCACTCTATGTAACCATGTTATTGGCATATGCATCAGTGAAATGGTGGAAGATCTTTGGGCCTGATCAGTGCGCAGGCATCAATCGATTTGTTGCCATTTTCGCAGTCCCCCTACTTTCTTTTGAATTCATTTCTCGCATCGATCCCTATAATATGGACCTTCTCTTTGTTGCAGCTGATTCTCTATCAAAAATCTTGATTCTCTCTTTCTTGGCTTCATGGGCCAGGCTCTCATCAAAAGGCAGTATAGATTGGGTCATTACCCTGTTCTCGCTCGCAACCCTCCCCAACACCCTTGTCATGGGCATCCCTCTCGTCAAGGCCATGTATGGGGATGACAAAGAAAGCCTAATGATTCAGGCCGTGGTCTTACAGTGCATTATCTGGTACACCATGTTGTTGTTTCTATTTGAGTACAGGGCAGCTAGATTGGCAGTAATGAAGGGGTTTAACACTGGATCAGAGAGTGGAAGGAGAGATAAAGTGGAGGAGATAGAGAGTGGGATGAGAGAGAAATTGGAGGAGAGTCAGAAGGGAGAAGATGAAGTGGTCCATGTGATGGTCGCGAAGAACTCGAATTCCCCATCTCATAGCTCAAATAGAGTCGCGCCTCACTTGGCGAGCACTGATGACGACGGCAAAGAACTTCACATGTTCGTTTGGCCGTGCGGGTGCTGCAATTCTGAAGGCAAGGTTCATGCTTTAATGGATAATGGAAAATCTTTTATTTTTTTATGTATTTTTCACTGCTTTAGCTGATGTGATTTGTTTGGAAACAGCGGTGTGTCATCAGTCAATTCAAGTATGCAGCAAAGAGGAGAAGAGAAAGAAAGAAGAAGGGCTTGTGTCTGTGCAAGAGGCTTCTATGTCAGTTGAAATGGTAAAAATGATCATGAAAATGGTGTGGTTTAAACTTCTGGCAAATCCAAATACTTATGCCAGCTTGTTGGGTCTTGCTTGGGCTCTTGTTTCATGCAAGTAAGTTTTTAGTCTTCAACTCATATGAGAGAGAGAGCCTTGAACTCATATATGAGAGAGAGAGAGAGGAGTAAAAAAACTGACTTGGTGATGCATTTGAGAGAGAGAGAGGAGTAAAAAGACTTGACTTGGTGATGCATTTGAGAGAGAGAGAGAGAGAGTAGTAAAAAAACTGTCTTGGTGATGCATTTGAGAGAGAGTAAAAAACTGACTTAGTAATTCATTTGAGAGAGAGAGAGATAGAGAGAGTAAAAAAACTGAATCGGTGATGCATTTGTGGAATGTAGGTGGAATGTTAAGAAACCCCTCATCCTGGAGAATTCTGTGACAATTCTGTCAAATGCTGGCCTAGGAATGGCCATGTTTAGCCTTGGTATCCTCTCTCTCTCTCTCAAATTGTAATTTGAAACTAAGAGAATCAAGAATTTGAGAAAGAATTGATGGCTTTCATTGCAGGACTGTTCATGGCTCTGCAACCAAGGATCATAGCATGTGGGACAAGGCTTGCAGCTTATGGGATGTTGATAAGGTTTTTTTTAGGCCCAGCTATAATGGCTGTTGCTTCAACTGGAGTTGGTCTTAGAGGCCCTATTCTCAGAGTCGCAATTGTCCAAGTGAGTCCAGTCTTTCTCTCTCTACTCATCATCGCCGTCATTATCATAATCTTTTTCAATTATTTAAGATCGGCTACACAAATCATGATCCATTTAGGATTTAAACAAAGTTTTGACAAAGTTTTATGCCAATTGCTTACCTAACACAACCTACTTCCTTTACCCGGGTTTGGGACGGGTTAATGGAAAGCTTAGGGTCCTCACCCTTAAGATTATCTCTCTCATTCTACAGGCAGCTCTACCACAAGGGATTGTTCCATTCGTATTTGCAAGGGAGTACAATCTACACCCAGATGTGTTAAGCACAGCGTAAGCTCGAAATACGCCAAAAAAGAATTTTTCTAGATGTTTTAAATATCTTAACACAGGCTCTTCATGAAATTTTGTTTTTGAATTCTTTGGCAGGGTGATCTTTGGGATGATTGTGTCACTGCCCATAACAGTGTTGTATTATGTGTTTCTGGGCCTCTGACAGAATCCCTCTGAATGCATTCCAAGCCATAACCACCATGAGGGGACAACAACTTGCATCATACTGAACCAGCATCCAATTCTGAGAGAGAGGGGAATGGCATACGAACCAGCATCTAATTCTGAGTGAAAGGTGATTGGTAGTATAATAACAGTGTGTAAACAAACTATAGAGCATGAGTCAAATTACCATCTGTGAATCACACTGAAACCCGACTTTATGGCTTCATAATGAGAAGAAGATCCTCAGGTCATGTTTTTTGAATTGGGATCTTGGAAAAGAAGATTATGGGAATTTAAAGAGAAGAGAAGATAAGGAATTTTTTTTTAATGGGATGATAATGTGAATATTCCCACTAAAAATTTATGTATGAGTCGATCTTTTTGTGTTGAAAGTAGAGAGTGAATGATTGTATACTATGAGACTATTTATTTTTATTACAAGGAGTTATAATTATTCCTAACTATTTGACGTCAAATTGGATAGCTTAGAGTGTGTCACTAAGTTCGAAAAAACTTTTTGAGTTTTGAGTCTAATCAATACACATTCACAACCAAGTAATTTAAAATGTGACGGACAAAAGTGATTGTGATCTATTTGTACTAAAAAGAAATTTGTTTTATAAAACGGGGACTCCATTTTTACATTTACGGTCCCTGAAGTATAAAGCATCCACCTTAAAGATGAATGCTAATAGACAGTTCATCTAAAAATAATTGAAACTGACGGTCCAAACGTTTTTTTAATAGAATTATTATTACTAATCTTTAAAATTTATTTATTTATTCATATTCATAATCTCCATGTTAGAGATTACATGTCCTTAAAAATTAGATAAAAAAGTCCATCTCAAAAATAGATTTTTAAAAGGTGACTCATTTCTGACTTATAGAAACCGTGTCCGTACTAAAAATAAACTATCTCGTTGTATACTTTTTGTTTTTGTTAAAATAGTGAGAGAGAGAGAGATTGATTGTACTCCCTTGCAATCTCTATTCTGCCCAAGGAGTAACTTCTCAACTAATTACTACACCTTTCGATGATTGTTATAAGGGTACTTCTACTCTGCCCAAGGAGTAACTTCTCAACTAATTACTACACCTTTCGATGATTGTTATAAGGGTACTTCTACTCTGCCCAAGGGACCACTGGCCAGCAGGTTCATTTGAGGGAGCAAGAGAATTTTTTCTTTTTTTATTTTTTATTTATTTTT